AGAGATGTAACCTATGTTGGAAACTGGGTTCAAATCTCTTCATCACCATTTCAAGACAAAAAAACATATTGAGCAAATCATGTTCGCCACCACTGGGTCTAAAATATTATACCATTGATCTCCATGGTTTGCTACTGGTTGTCATGGTTGACGCTTTCTGTTTTCCTCTTGAATTCCCTGCTGTTCATTTGTTAAAACATGAGAACTTTGATGTCAATTACAAGAGCATCACAAAGTAGCATTGATAATGGAAATGAGAAATAAGAAGAATTATAGAAAAGTTTATCTATTTTAAATGAATTTCAAGCTTAATCATAATTCTATTCAAGACATACCTTCGAGGAGTTAAAAGAATCACTATGGATTGAGATGTCCCTGGAGTCTGGGGTACAGCTTAGTTGATGAAAACTCAACAGAAAGAGACCTACAAATTGGAAGTCCATGAGCAACTTTGTATCAGCTGCCATTCTTTGAAACAAATTGAACTTAAAAGTGATTTACCTACACAAGGTATAAGAGACTGATCAACATCTTGTCATTCTCCCAGCTGATTGAAATTGAGCACCTCCAAGAGATTAAAACCTTATGGATTATGGTCCAATAACTTTTAAAGGAAGAATCTCAATTAGTCTTACCATAAGACTATGCTCATTGTACTAATTAACAAAAGATTAAAAAAACAAAAAGCCCATGCTTAAATGCTTGAGACTCAGGGAACATACCAGAATCATTCTTAATTTCTCTTGATGACAGTGCCTTTCTAATTGCTTTTTGCCTGTTCGATGAGCATTGGTTATGTGTTTCAAGGCCAATGGATGGCCCACAATCACAGCAATCAAACCTTATTGAAACCATGACACCTAAAAGAACTCCAATCCATGTTTTGCATTCCTGTGGACGAATTAAAACAACCAGTAATCTAGATCATAACCACGAACATTAGTCTATAAAATTAAAGAAAAACCAATGCTTTAAATGAACCAAAAATTCCAAAGTTAATTACACTAGCCTGCTTTCCGTTTCTATCTCCACAGTCTGAATCCCCCTTAGTTGCAGATTCTTCCAAGTTTGAATTCAAAATCTATTATATTTACAAGTCTGCAACCATATATATTAAGAAATGGGAAGTGAGCTGGTGCTGCATTATAGGAATGTAATCAAGGAACCTAATAGTTAGTACCAAATGAAAATTATAAGTTGTCAAATACCAGTCATTTGATTGATAAAACAATACTTCTAAAATTGAACCATAACATTACAAAAAGAAGTGAAAAACAATGAGAGAATAAAAAGTTCACAAAATTTTAAATGAAGAATGCGTCATATCATAGAGATGCAGTCAAATTTTGAGAGAAAAGTTTACAAGGAAAGCATAGCTTACCTGAATTCATGTATGGATCTCATAAAATTCAAAAGGTCTCCATGGTTTTTGAGATGATTGTGCTGCTTGGTTCTTTGGCTTTTCAGCAAGTCGTCACCAACATAATTTCTGCTCTAGATTGAAAGAACGGTTTTAGAGACAGATTACTTGCAAGCTAATTTGAAGAATTAGAGACCTGTAAAATGATGTAGCTTTTATACACAACATACATTATCCACGCAACAGATAAGTAAATCTTATACAGAATGTGATAACTAACATTTGATAGACCTGAATGCATTCACAATACTTGTTTGAGCAACTTCATTTTTCCAGTTGTATCCTCTTTTATGCCTGGCTGAAACCAGAGTTTTGTTATTTTCACCCTACACAAATAAATACTTTATTAAGAGAAGGTAAAAATACCTTACAAATGTTAAAAAAAATCAGCAGCAACCTTCCTCAATCCTCATAGTTAAGTTGGCAGAAGAAAGAAGTGATGCACTACTAGAATAAGAATAGTGAGTTGTGAGTGCAATGGTAAACTTTGATGCTATTCTGTTGGAGCAGTGGCATCAAAGCTGTGATGTTGCTACCACAAAACAGCAAAATGGTGCATCAAAGTGCAACAAACTGTTGCCTTATGGAAGAAAATGAAATGAAATGCAAATGCAAATGTGACATGTGAATGAAAAGCAAATGGAGGCTGCAAATTAATCAACACAAGTGCAGAAATGTGATAGTGTTTTAATGAACATTTTTAT